TTGTGGTTTTATTATTGTTATAGTTGTTATTATTAGTAGTATTGTTATTAATATTGTTATTGTTGTTATTTTCAGTATTATTATTATTTGTTATTATTTTCTGATGCACTCAGGCAGAATAAGGAGTTTTTTACTTTAAATCAGAGCAGAAAGTTTGTCCTGTTGACATGAAACATGACTCAGTGGTTTTTATGAGATGAACRGTTTTGAAGCTGTAGTTTGTGTTTGAGGCTGAGCGGTGGTGAAGTTGCTCCGGTTGGACCCGGTGTTCTGTTAAAAGCTCTTTTGTTGCTCTGTTTCAATGAAACAACTGGGCTACATCTAATCATTGTTTTGTCAACAGCTTCTTTTGTCCAAAAGCCCAAAGATGCTCCGTTAGAAGAGCTGCAGCCAGAAAACTTCAGCTGAAAAACTAATTAAACATGAAGTTTTCTGTTAAACTACAGTGTCCAAACAGAACGCAGACAGGCTCTTGTAAAGGACACTAAAGGTCCAGTTGGACTGGTTCTGTCACACCACAGATACAYTCACATTTAAATGTCACTGAAACCCAAAGAACTGAGCTGAGTTTGGCTCCAGAGAAAACCTGCAGATTTTTCACATTTTCTCATGAACTTCTGCTCTTGGTTTAATTGAAACCAGTCGTTGGGATGGATGTCCGGATCATCCAGAACTGAATGGAATTTAAAAGCTGGTCCAGATGCAGAACCGGAGTGGTGCTGCTGTTAAATCATGTCAGCTTTGTTGCTGCTTGGAGTCGTTTGTGGCCAGAGTCAGAACCCAAACAGAAAAACTGCAGAYAGTCAAACATGTCGTCCTCTCCTGACTCGACTCCTTCAGGAGGAAAAACTCTGACTTCAGTTTGATCAAAGAAACAAACTAAACTCAAACAAACACACTGATCTAAAAAACCTTTTTATCCTGATGTCTGCTCCTCACAGGAACCTGTAAAACACTGAACCAGAGTTTTATGATTTTTTATTTACATCTTGTTTCTTATCAGKCTCAAAGAAAACCGTTTAACTGAAGTGAAAAACAACCAAACATTTCTGTGGCTTTTTAATTCCCACCCGTCAGAAAAACATCCAGAATAAACTCTTCACATTTTCTGAGGTTTTTCAAAACTCCAAACCCAAACTCACCAAAATAACATAATTTAATTTTCCACATTTCTGTTCTGGATCATCAGAAACTCTAAAATGTCCTTTCTGATGGCCACCCATCAAACTGAGAGATTATCAAAGATTAACACAAGCTCTGACTGAGACCACCAACTATAGGTCTGACTGTTTAAAACCATCATCATGTGACCTGAGACCACCAACTACAGGTCTGACTGTTTAAAACCATCATCATGTGACCTGAGACCACCAACTACAGGTCTGACTGTTCAAAACCATCATCATGTGACCTGAGACCACCAACTACAGGTCTGACTGTTCAAAACCATCATCATGTGACCTGAGACCACCNACCATGGTCCCACCATGGTCCCACCATGGTCCAACCATGGTCCCTCCATGGTCCAACCATGGTCCCACCATGGTCCAACCATGGTCCCTCCATGGTCCAACCATGGTCCCTCCATGGTCCCTCCATGGTCCCACCATGGTCCCACCATGGTCCCACCATGGTCCCTCCATGGTCCCACCATGGTCCCACCATGGTCCCACCATGGTCCCTCCATGGTCCCACCATGGTCCCACCATGATCCAACCATGGTCCCACCATGGTCCCACCAGTCGAGCGGTGCCTGAACGTCTCAGACACATAAATAAAATTTCTTCCTTCAGTTCGTAACAAAAATATATTAGATCATCTTTTTATTTTTCAGAAAGTGCCGTTTGGACCCTCTGAGTTCTGCTCAGAGGGTCCGGAGACGAGCTTCCATCCCAGAAAGTGACCCGGAGGAGAGCACCAGACCCCCCACCTCTGTGCTCCCTCTCTGGAGTCAAAGGTCCTCCTCACTGGTCCGGTCCGGTCCAGTCCAGTGGGTGTCTACGAACAGCCACAGTCCTCCACGATCATGTTCTGGATGTCCTTCTTGATGATCTTCTGCTCCTCGTTGTAGTAGAGCATGGACATGGCCCGTAGCCTGGTGGGCACGCAGCACGACCTCAGGTTCTGGAAGGGGCTGTAGCCCCGCAGGCGGTAGTGGCTGATGACGGTGGAGTGGAAGGACAGCGTGGACCCCGCGATGCTGGCCACGTGAGACGGGCACTCGCCCTCGCAGTAGTTGGCGTGGTACCCTGAGGGCGCGATGATCCAGTCGTTCCAGCCGATGTCCTTAAAGTTGACGTAGAACTGTCTCTTGCAGCAGACGCGCACCTTCCCGTCGCACTCCAGACCCCGCTTCCTGCGCCGCCTGGAGTCGCTGCCGTCCTCCTGCCGGACCACCGCCATGAGGAAGGGCCGGTGGGACTGCTCCCGCTGGGCGCCGCGCTGCGACGAGTCGCCTGAGACCAGGACCAGGGTGGCCCCGGTGTCGGCGCAGAGCGGGCAGGACACCCTGAGGCTCAGCGTGCTGCCTGCCCTGCTCTCCAGCAGCGCCTGCACAGCCTTCGACACAGGGAAGGTGTGCCAGCCACTGCGGCGCGTGTCCACCTTCTTCTCCGCCAGGAGGACGTCGTCCTGCGCCGAGGACGGGCATCCGTTGGGCAGGCGGCGCTGCTGGAAGAGGCGGATGGTGACCTTGGCCCGGCTGCGGTTGGTCTTGGCCAGTCGCAGGAAGAGCCAGACGTTGGCCTGCTCCACCAGAGACATGTCCCCGCCTTCTTTAGAGAGGACGAAGTTCACCACGCCCTGAGAGTCACCTGAGGGACACAGACAGAGACACAGGTCAGAGGGAGCAGGTCCACACCTCAACACGTCCAAACACCTCAGATCCTCCTTCAGCAGAACTCTTTAAACGATCCAGGATTAGTCGTAACATTAGACTTTATTTAATAAACATATATTTTAACTGTAAAATAAAGACTGTAAAAATACTGTAGGATGTTCAGTTTTGTAAATTTTTAAAAACATATTTTAACACGGACGGAGCCATTTTATTTCCACACAAAGCATTCTGGGTAAATGATGACGTGGATAGGTCCTCGGTGCGAGGCTGCT